TATGTTGTTATCTTAAAACAATGCTTTGATCTATTATTTTACTGAAACATGTAATAACATCCTAAAATTTTTATATAATTAAAAAAACTTAAGGTTACATTTTTTTGGTTAACGTGGTTAATATATTTTTTTGTTAATGTGTTTATATTTTCTTCCGGTGATCATGCATGCGTAGGAGCTAAAGAGAAACGTGGAAATAAAATATAAACACATTGTGTATATATTTGGTAACAAAATAAAATATAAACATTAAAAAATATAAATAAATATATATGTATTTATGTATATTTATGTATTTATATTTACATTGTGTATATTTTTGTGTATAAATATACGTATATGAATGTGTTTATATATATGTATATATATGTTTGTATATATACATACAGATATATATGTATATATTTTTATTTTTATTATTTTTTACTTTTTATTATATATTTATATATATAATTTTTGAAAATATATATAGTAATATAAAATTGATAATAAAATATGTTTCAAATTATTATTATTTTATAGAAATATTATAGTTGTTTTTTAATATAATGATATTATTAATACATATTTATGAAATAATATAAATAAAAAGCATTAATAATTCTTTGAAATAATATAAATAAAATGAACAAGAATATTATATATAAATAGAACATTCAAAGAACAATGGAGAGAGTTTTGAATATACATAAATTATTATTATTGTTTATGTATGTATAATTATTAATAATTCTAATAAATTTATAATATATAATTATTATTATTATAATAATTTTAAATTTTGTGAACAAATATGTTCAAAATTATTATTAATTCTTTAGAAAAAATGTTGTAGTTAACTAACATTCACCATATCAATATTACCTTAATTTTTTAAAGACAATGAATAAAAATAATTTTATTTTAAAACAAAATTAGAAATATAAATTCTATATTTTTTGTAGGTAAAATTATACACAATTTTATTAAAATTTGTAAAATGATAATAAATTATAAATGAGTTAGTGATGTTTTCTAATTATATTATTTTCATCACACGTATAAATTAAAAGCAATATTTAAGTATATAATTAGAAATTTTTAATTTTTATTAAATCTTTAACAAATTTTCTTGTAATTTAAATCTAATAAAACAACAATATCGTAAAATTGTTTGTATGATATGATCTTGCAATATAACCTTTTTCACAAATAGATAATTTGAATATTAAACTTAATATATAATCGTTATTGATATAAATCTAAAAATTATCGTTGAAAATTACAAAATTAATATCAAATATTAATTTTTTTACACATCGAAGGTTAGTAAATATTAAGAATAAAGATATCAAAACAAAACATTGACAAACTTATTTATTCAACTTTTATTTAAAAATAATATTATTATATAATAATACGATGATAGTTATATTTTTCTATTTTTCACTTCTTTGATATATACTGATTTAATAATAAATCTAATTTTATATTATATATATCAATTTTTGTTGTATTTATATCATTAATTTTTTATGATAAAAAACAAAAAATTTATGTTAATAAAAAAAAAGAACAAACCGCGCATCGCGCGGGTCTTACCTAGTTAAGAAAAAAAATGAGTTGGACGGACCGTAGCCCCCGGGGGTTTAGATAAGATTTGCACCTCTCGAAGTGATAATGCAAAAGTAGGGGTCCATTATAGAATTAAAAGAAAAGGTAGGGGTCCATTAACAGTTTCTTAGAAAAGTAGGGGTCCATTTATTATTTTATTTTTTTCGTCGTTAACCTTTTAACGCTTTGAACTTTTTCATCACATCACAAAAAAAAAAAAAGCTGATTTCCCCGTGCTCCAACCCAAAAACAAAGAAAAAAAAATACGGATTAATATATAGGTATACCTTTTATTTGATTATATTTAATATTATATATTCCAACATACAAAATTCATGAAGTTTCCAATAATTTTATTGACAATCTTCATTCCAATGTAGTATTATGAAGATTTAAAATGCGGTATAAAGAGATTCTAAGCATATTTTAGCATGAAAAAAATAAGATTACCCAAAAGTTATAGAAATTCATAATAACAATATCTCAGTAGAAAATAAATTATTCATTACATGCATTAGTTAGCATATTGCAAGTGTATCACAAACATACAAAAAAATATTGATCATACAAATTCTAATGATATTAAATTTCAATCAATTTTTTTACTCGCAATGTAAAAAAAATAACTACATTATCAATTTTCCGGCGTTAATTTTTAGGAAATACAAAATTTATATATAATATATTTCGTGATTATGCTGTATTTTTTTTTATATTGATGTATGCAAGTGCAACTTTTGTAAATTTTGTTTATATTTAAACGGATTATGTTCCGATCAAAAAGGTAAAATGTAAATAATATAAGGCCCATTTAAAGCCCAAAGCCCTAAACTTTTCAATATGATATCTTCTCGTTATCGACGGTACGATATATTCTTTCTTCTGATCATTTCATAACCAATTCTTGAAGCTGTAGATGAACAACCCTAATATTTTTACTAATTTGCGTTTGGACCCCTTTGTTTTTGTTCCTTACTCTCACCCCCTTCAAAGGAATACATCTTGATTTGAAAACCTTCGTTTATTGCCAAACCTAACAGAATACAATGTACACTCTTGCTCTATGCTGAAATCTATGTTGCTATTTCTGTTTTCGGTTCGGATCCAGATTTGATTATTTTGATTTTTAAAAAAGTTAATATATTTTTTTTTGTTTTTATATTGAATTCTGGTTATATTTAAAAAAATATTTTTTATTTTTCTGATATATTTAAATTTGATAAATTGTATGATTCATATATTATTTTGTTCGGAACACTTCAATTTTACATGACAATGTATGGGAGGATGGACCATTTTCCTTTACAAACAAGAAAAAACCAAACTCCATTAACTATATTTATTCTCATGGACCCCAAAAACCAAACTGACCACGACGGGTATTTAATGCCGTAATTATTGTATTCTTACGTCATTAAACACAGTTTAGGATATTTAAATTCGTATATGTTTTTTGCCACAGAAAAAAAAATTATTATATATTGTTATTTAAGGGTTTTATTACAACTATATATATACACACACACATCAAGGGGCTTCTAATGTTATTATCGCCAATTTCAATTTCATGTGTATATGTTTGTATATCGGACTCTTGGCCATGATGGGTTTGGTCGAAGATCATTCATACCTCGTGATACGGATTGGATATTTAAAGCTTTTAAGATTATTTGAATTCAAATTCGAATGTTTTTGCTAAACCTCTTTTTCAAGATCAAAATCAATTATCAACCGTAAATTCAATTCCCGATAAAAAATATTCCGTCGGTATTAGGGATGGACATGAATCGGTTATCCGAGTTATCCGATGTATCTGACGACGACTTTGCCCCTCGAATTTTTCGGTTAGAATCCGATCTCAACAATTCGGCATCCGAGTTTTGGATAATCGTAAGGTAACAACGCAAGGGGATCGAGACCAAACCTACTAAATTCTATTATAAAATTTTAAATAAAGTTTTTTTTTCTTTATAACGGCGAAAACCCGTCACACAACCCTTCGGATCGGACCCCGTTCAATCTCATGGGTAAGGCAATATCTCAGACAATAAATCTTCCGGCTCCTGCACGGTAGCCGACAAACCACGCGGAACAGGTAAATCAGTTGAAATTGATTGGTTCAGGAGAAGTTTAGATCTCAAGCGGGATCAAACTTACGATCTTGACTAGAGGGTGCTTGTCATTTTCCAATTGACTTGGGGACTTCCCCAATTTTAAATAAAATTGTTAAATGGGCGGGTCGTAGTAAATGACCCATAGCAAAACTATTATCCGTATTATAAATTTTTCAAGAGAGTGGTTATTAGAGATATACTAAATTCTATTAGGAGACTAAAAAAGTTATATGTTTAACATATATAAATATTAAAAAAATATGAAAGAAATTTTATAATTTTTATTGGATATTAAGATGTTTTAAATGAAAATTTCAATTCTATATCCGATCTCACAGATAGTATTCCAACACCGACATCTGATCCTAGATACATGCATGGATAACCTTTTTTTTTCTTATGGAATATTCGATTTTCGGGTATTTTGTCGATTAATACCAAATATAGGCTAGAGGGGCTTGTCTCGAATGGGACAGAAGCTCGAGTGGATAATTATTTGCCACATTTGTGTTGGAGGTGATGGTCTTTGTATCGTATATATATATTTTTTTGTCAAACCAGAAAGTTCACCTAGGCCTTCGGCCCAACCTATATCTCCCTGGGTCCGGGAGCAGCCTTTGAACACACAGCCTTTGGCTATGCCTCTCCCTCTCCGCATGTCTGGATTCGAACCCCTGACCTGGAGGAGGAACACCATCACTTCCAGTTCAGGTACCACTCGACGACAAACATGTGGGTTCTTTGTATCGTATATTGATGGATAGATTCCGAATATATCATTCACGAATATGCAATTAATTTATTTTTTGAATGAATTTTGGGGAATCTTATACGAACTTTCAGCGTCAGTGTCCTAAGAAATCGTGTCGGATTCAATGCATCCAAAGCACATAAATATGTTATTTTGCTCATCCTAATTAAAATATTATATCCTCAATTTTTCATGTGTTGCATGTGTTACACGATGTTCTGTTTATTAAACTCCATACGTTTTCTATGAATTACACCTACACATATATGTATATGTTTAAGTAATCTTTTATCATTCAATTCAATCAACTAATCATACATTAAATTACTCTTCCTCTTTACGTAAAATACAAGAATACAAATACAATGGATTGGCTTGCCAAAAAATAAAGCCGCTCCTAGAAAAAGGATATAAGAAATTAAAAAAAGACAAAAAAAAATAATACGCTAAGCTATAAGAAGCATATTAATCGAAGAAATATTTCAGAGAAAAAATTGCTTAAATAAACTTATAATTATGATAAAAGAGGACCCCAAAAAAAATATAATATATAGTAGTCGTATTCGAAATAATCCTCACCGGACAGTCCAAAACCAAAATGGTTCGAACCCCGTGAAAGTAATATTATCGAAATTGGACTGACCGTTTTATAAGATTAATGTGGAAAAAAAGATTTTCTTTAAAAAAAATAAGGGTTCTTAAAAGTTCCAAAGATTGAGGGATTGTAGAGAAAAATCGTCATTAACTTCATCGTCGTAAAAATTGGATGGAAGTTGCTGCTCGGTCGGAAAAAACAAGTTTCCGGTCTCGCCGGGGAAAAACCCTAACTCCTCCGATCTACCCACATTGTTCTCCCACAAAAACGGCCAATACGCTGTCGTTTCGTACTCAGCGGCAGTCCATGTGTCATTGCTGTAATTATGATTATTATCATTATTATTGTTAATGTAGTTAATCCCCTCCTCCACTTGCTCCGACATGGCCCCACCACCACGGAATGGATTTTCCCCACGTGCCGAAATTCCCTCCACGTCGTCATCATCATTGTTTGCTTGTGCACGTGACATCGCAGTCGTCGGTGGTGGTTCCTCGTTGGCGAAGCGGCTCGCGACGGCCTGAATCTCCGGCGGAGTTAGGGATCTTCCGCCGGGGATCTCCGGAGGGTTCGCCGGAAAATTAAAGCTTGCTCCGGGACCTCTCAGGCAATACTGAGCCGCGTCGAACGCACGCGCCGCCTTCTCCGCCGTTTCGAAGGATCCCAACCAGATCCTTTCCCGACTGTTCGGAAGACGAATCTCCGACACCCACTTCCCCCACTTCCGCTTCCGTACACCCTTGTACTTGGGCGACGACGACTGAGTATCCATATCCATATACACACACGCACACTCAACACTTTCTGTGTTTTTTAAGGTTTCTTCAGGTGGGTTCTTTGGGTGAAGCTTTGTTGTGACACTGAAAATGGCGGCTCTTGTTACGAGTGTATATATATGTGTGTGTGTGAAGTAACCATGAGGATAAATGGTCTTTGAAGGCGCGTTGAAGATAGAGAGACGACGCGTTTGAGATAGATTTGTAACGTAAAAAGCACGTGCTCGAATTCAGATTGCTGACCCTCCCTCAAGAACTTTCTATCTCATTTCACTCTTTTTCGTTTATGTGCATGCTCCAAATATTAACCCCTTTTCCTTTTTTTTCTAGAACACTTCCACTGATATAATATTGTGTTTTTTTTTGTTAAAGTTATATAATAATAATAATATTGTGTTTGTGTATATATGTAATAACATGTCATGTATATATTTTTTTAATTATGTACTTGCTTGATCAAAGGGTAAAGTAAATATAATAGCTTTAAATCCTTGCTTACGTGGAAAAGCTGTCGCACCAACTGTTCTTTTTCTTATAGATTTACCCATTTAATTATTCATTTAAATACACTCCAAATTAAGAAAAATCAAATTTGGTGCAACAAAGAAAATAACATCGTGTGAATGGGGTTCTTTTATTCAAAATCTCGTACTGTGTCACTAGTCGGGTTTCCGATTCTTGACTCGTGAGAAATATTTTAACCATGTTATATTCTAATTGTTTTTTTTTCAACAATTGAAAATATTCTCAAACCCACATATTTTTTTAACCCCTTCCCTACAAATCTCTGGGAAGATTGAAGCTATTGATGGTAACTATTGGCCCGCAAATATTACGTCATTTACTCCAAAAGTATATATTTCCAATAATAAAAAAACGATAACAATAATATTTTTTAAAAAATTTAAATGAATATGTGGGGAATATTATAGACAATGACATTGGTAGATTGTTCTAGAAGTACAAATATTACAGTACTTTGGAGAAAAAATATATAGAAAAAAAAAATACCAATCAAAATTTATTTTTTTTCCCCCGAGAGGTCCTCGTCCTTGTGTGCGTAGATCGGTATCCTCGAGCACGCAGCTTTTGAAAAAGTTTATATTTTCTTTTTGCTAATAAAAATAATTTTTTTGTTTAGTCATAAATTTTGGTTTGTTTCAAATCAGAATTTGGTGAATTAAATGGGGGAAAAAAATTCAGATTTTCAAACGAAAGAGATAAAAGAAATCCTTTAAAAATCAACGTTAATTTATTGAACTTAGTTAAATATATTTGGATCAGTAAATTAATCTTTACATATATATATTGTATAATATAAAATTCGAATATTAATTACCACTATATGAAACAGAAGAAAAAAATGTCTTGATCTTAAAAAAAATAAATATAAGCATCGCAAAAGTTGTGGTCCTCTATCTATTATTTAAAACAAAAAATCAGTTTTTGTGTCACTTTTTTTGGGGGGCTAAGATTAAGATACTTTTATATGTTAATTTCTTTTACTCATATTTTTTGTTGTGACATATTTTCCCAAAAACATTGGTCCCTGTTTTTAATGGATAAAACCCTTAAAAATTCCTAAATTTGTAAAATGATAAAAAATAAATTTCTTAACTTTTTGTTAGCCAAATTTATTTTCAAACTTGAAAAATATGAAACTATAATTTCTAAATTTATAAAATGTGTAATTATAATTCTTAAACTAATTTTTGAATCAACGTCAATATTTTTTTATACCAATTAACAAGTTTGAGAATTATAATGATACATTTTACAAGTTTAAGAATTATAGTATCACATTTTATAAGTTTGAGAATATATTTCTCTAACAAAAAATTTAAAAATTATTTTTTATATCCAATATGATATTTTGTTATCCTATTCAGCCCAAAATAAAAGCCCATAAAATGCTTTTATTAGGCTTATATTTTCAGCCCATATAGTCCAGGACCGTCGTTCAATGTTTTCTCCCGTTTTCCTGGAAAATTTTCGGCCGAGAAAATAATTCTCACGTCAAAAGCGGGAAAAACTGCGCATTCATATTATAATTTTCCCCAGAGATCCAGTCTCCGGATTTGGGTTCACTGGTGTCTTGTATTTCATGTTGTGTTTTCAGATTAATTGTTTTTAAAGAAAAAAAGGGAAAGCATCGTCTTCAGACGGCTTAGGGTTTCTGTGTCCGCCGGAGCCGTCGCCGCCCTCCGACGCGGCCGTCATTTTTGCCCTGTACCTCGATCCTCGGTAGGCCGAGATTCTAGCGGGTCGATTCCGAGTCGGTTCCGATCTCTATCTTCTTTGCGCCACTGGTTCAGTCTTCCGTCGGTTTGCTCAGCCTCCATCGACGCTGCTCCCATCGGATTGTGCTCCTCTGCGTCGATTCCTCCGCCACAATCTGCGATCAGGTTCTGCAGATTCCGCTGCCGCCGCGCCTGTCGATTTGAGACGGTGGTCGTTATCTGCGGCTTTTTTTGCACGATTCTGGCCGAGCCTCGGCTCAGCCTCAGCAGAAAGTTGTAACTTTTCTTTTTGTTTCACAGTAAATTTTTTCCGTCAGTTATTCAAAGTTGTTTTAGCAAAATAGCTTAATGGTTTATCGGGCATTCAAAGCTTCGATTTTGATGAAGCAGTTTCGCCATAACACCCAGAACCTGTTTGTAATAATGTCTGTCGTTATCTGCGGCTTCTGTCGCCCGATTCTGGCCGAGCCTCGGCTCAGCCTCAGCAGAAAGTTGTAACTTTTCTTTTTGTTTCACAGTAAATTTTTTCCGTCAGTTATTCAAAGTTGTTTTAGCAAAATAGCTTAATGGTTTATCGGGCATTCAAAGCTTCGATTTTGATGAAGCAGTTTCGCCATAACACCCAGAACCTGTTTGTAATAATGTCTGAGAGACATGTTTTCTCTGGAGAATCTTCGTCCATGCTTGTACGTGTCAGGTCAATGACATCAAGCAGGCGCGTTCAAGACCGGAGCAAGGAAAAGAGAGTTCACGAGCTCGAGATCGTGACCGAGAAGTGGAAAACAGCTTCAAAAGTGATTTTCTTGATGGAGACATTGAAGAAGGAGCCTGAGATGATCATGCCCGTCAGGTCATTGGAACAGTACAGACGGCAAATCAATCTGCCGAAGCCTCACAAGATCAGTGATTTCATCAGGAAGTCGCCCAAGTTGTTCGAACTGTACAAGGATCAAAGAGGAGTCTTGTGGTGTGGAATGACAAAGGAAACTGAAGACTTGTTGGAAGAACAGGACAGGCTACTCGAGGAAAACGGGGACAAGGCTGCGGAACATGTGACTAGGTTCTTGATGATGTCTGTTGATAAAAAACTTCACTTGGATAAGATTGCTCATTTCCGGAGGGATTTCGGGTTGCCGCTTGATTTCAGGAAAGAATGGGTGAACAAGTTTCCTCAGCATTTCAAAGTTGTTGAATCCGGGGATGGTGAGGAGTATCTCGAGCTTGTCGCTTGGAACCCGAAATGGGCTATCACAGAGTTGGAGAAAAAGGTTTTAGGGCTAACTGAAGCAACTGATCATAAACCGGGCATGCTCTCACTGGCTTTTCCCATGAAGTTTCCTGCATATTACAAGAAAATGTACAGGTACAGAGGGAAAATCGAGCATTTTCAGAAACGTTCTTACTTGTCTCCATATGCTGATCCACTCGACCTCAAAGCTGGATCAAAGGAATTTGACAAACGGGCGATTGCAGTTATGCATGAGCTGCTTAGCTTCACGCTCGAGAAGAGATTGGTCACTGATCATCTGACCCATTTCCGGAGAGAACTTGTGATGCCACAGAAGCTGATGAGGATTTTCTTGAAACATTGCGGTATTTTTTACGTCTCCGAGAGGGGAAAGAGATTCAGCGTGTTCTTGACAGAGGCATACAAAGGTTCGGAGCTGATTGAGAAATGCCCTTTGGTTCTTTGGAAGGAAAAGGTCCTTAGTCTCGCAGGTTACAGAGGAAGGAAGAAAGAGATTCCAACTTACAGAGATACTTTGGAAATGGAAGACGAAAATTTATTGGAGAGTGGTTCAGAAGATGAAACCTTGACCGTGGAATCCGATAGAGAGGAAACCGCAAGCTCTCTGGATTATGATCTCTTAACAGATTCAGATGAGATGAATATAGAAGAAATTTGATGAATGCCTATGAAGAGAGCGATGCTCAGTGAGGTAAATAAAAGCTCTACACATATCTGTTAATCATGTTCTCTGAATTCATGGTGGTGTTATCTTTTATCAAAGTCTGAAACTTTTACAGTTTTTTTCTCAGAATCCGGTTAATGTATGCGATCGGGTTATTGTCTCGGACCGTAGTTTATGAAGATTCAAGAATTCAGAACCCGAGTGAGTGCTCTCTCTCAATTGAAATCTTCCAAAATCAGAACACAGATGGGGTTTATAGATGCTGAAACCGTGCTCCATATACAGATATTTGAGTCGAAATTTGCCTGCTTGCTCTATTCCAATGAGTAGAAGATGCAGCAGATCTTGGACCAAAAGCTTCACGAGCCACTTGGACAGGAGAAACTAGAAAGGTTACTTAACCGGTCCGGTTTAGCATGGATTGGGAAATCGGTTCAAAACCGGCAGAAATCTGAATGTACTCGGTCGGTTTAATTTAGTGATCGCGCATTCTATACATTTTCTGGATTTGTAATATTCAAGTGATAACCAATTATACACACAAAAAAAAGTTATATCCGTGGTCATTAGTCAGCAATTTTATTTTAAATCTTCTTTTGTCTTTCGAAAGGGTGAAGTCCTTATTATATAATATTCTTTTTTATCAAGATTTTAGGTAAAATGTATCAAATTAATTTGAAGTAATGTATAAAATTACAAGGACCTAAAAGGAAGTGTGAAGATATTTTCTTTTGCAGCCAAGTTCAAAGATGAAGCTAGTTTTTTACGAACAGAGTCGTTACATATAAAAAGCAAATCTAATTTTAATTTAATAATATATGATTGGGAAAAACTTCTTAAAATTCTCAAATATACAATTCGATGGAAAACTATTTCCTAAACTTACACATTTCTATTTATTATCGAACTTGAAAAATTGGACACGATAAATCATAAACTTGTTTAAAAGTGTCATAATCGTCATAACAATAATTTTGATCAAAATAATGGGTTGAACAATCTTACATGACACGTGTATTGTCAAGACACGTTAGATTTTTATACCATGTATACAAAACCGGGTTTAATAGACACAATATAATAAAATTGGTTTGTAATAATAAAAATTTCAGTTCACCGGAAGATCTGGGATAACGATGGAGATCGGAATAATTACCATCATTACCGGTTCACGAGTTCTAGATCCAGATCGATGGCATCTCCGCCGAAACAGGAGCGTTTGGCGTCGAAATAACCGTCATCGGGGATAGATCTTTTTCGTCCTAGATTTTTCGGTGAGAACAATGTCGTCAAAGGAAGAGACACGACGACCGGAAACACCATCGATGAACTCGGAAGTACCTTCCAAATTGTTACTTTTACTGTATAGATAGCACAAAATTTGATGTATCTTAACAATTCACGCCACACGTAGGATTGTTCAAGACATTATTTTGGTTGAAATTATTGTAAGGACGATAATGATATTTTTAAGCAAAATTAGGAATTATCATGTCTAATTTTTCAAGTTCGGGAATAAATAGAAACATCTATAATTTGAGGAATTAGTTTTCCATCGAATCACAAATTTGGAAATTTTCAGAAGTTTTTCTCTATATGATTTGTATTCAAATTTTACTTACAATTTATTGAAAATATTCTAAAACTTTAAATCCATTGAAAATCATTTGCAATACAAACTAAAGATAAAATACAAACAGAAGTGAAAGTAAAAGTTTAATGAAAAGTGACTTCAAATCCGATTTTTAAAATGAATAGCCTCAAAACTGTTTTAGTAAATAGACATAAATTTTATAAGTTTAAAATTCTAAATATGAAAAATAATCTACTCTCAAATATAGAAAAAGCAAACTTCCACTAATTCCTATTTTACCCTAAGCTATTTAAATCCTAATTTTACTTTGAAACCCCCAATTTTCTCTTTGAAAACAATGTGACATCTGGAGAAGGAGAAGGAGAAAGATAAAGTTAGAGCTTAATCCAAATACGATAAGGCTTTACATGTTCATAAGGATTCCTCTTGTTTTCTCGATAATTATACTAATCAGTAATGTGCAATTTGTGGATAATTGCGACGAGGAAAGAGGAGATTATAGAACTTGTTCTGTAAGAAGAACCTTTTCCCCTTACTGTCTATTGCATTCTTCCACCCGCACCATCCACTATTCACAATATTCTTCTGCTCATTAGTTCCTGTGTAATACACATCCAATATTAAGAACACACATTCATTGCTCGTTTCATTATACTCCCCTTCCAAAAGGGTGTATGTCATAACCCTTCCTGTTCATATATACCCGGGTAAGGGATCTAAAAATTAGTCCGCGCATTTTCGCTCTTATGATTGTAATCCTAACCTTTCATAAGATAATTATAATGATTAGGGTGCATTGTTACTACACAGATATGTTATTGGTTTACTTAAGTGACATGTCAGATGGTGACGGTATCAAAGCATTCGTTGTTTATCTCAACGTCTTATGTATATATTGTCGATTCAATCGCTTATCTCAACGTCCCATATATATATATGTAGATAATAACAAAAAGATGGTTTTCCCGGGTTTGGCAAAGCCCAAAGTCCTAACTTTCCTTTTTATGTTTTCCCTTGTCATTGTGTTTACATTAAAAACATGTTTAGTTTTATCAAGTTGCATCAAGGTCGGAAACTATTGGTTGCGGCCACTCAAACGGAGAGGTGGCCTCGACATGCCGTCAAATTCAGTTCTTAAATCGCCTGACCCAACTTCAAACCTTCTCCAGATTTAAAGTGAAATTAGGGTTTTGAAATAGTTATTTCAGTAATCGTATCAAAATGGTTTGTTTGGACCAATCCGATTCCAAATATTGGAACGAGATGTCCCAAATCAATCAAGTACACAACTAAGATGAATAAAAAAAAATCTATATATTTGACATTCTATTTAATCTTATTTTATCAGTTTCAAAGTTCTAAAAAAAGAATATTAGGTAAAATAAAATATGAGATAACAAAATTGGTAGACGGAAAACAATGAAACTTACGTATATGATAGAGAACCCTATAAAAATAAAGTCGGCATAAGTGCAAATGGAGTTTTCGTTTAGTTTTATAATCACTTGTCTTGTTAAGAATAGAGGTACCTATGATTTCGCGTGAGATTACAACTCCTATGACCATTGCACGGTAAAATGAGTAAAATAGATAGATATCTAATTTTGGTTTTGCTAATAAAAAAGTTAAAATTAAATTTGTTTTTAATATAAACATAGTGTTAAGAGAAAGCTATTATCCATGAGCCGAGTTGAGGTTGATTTTTTTTATAATTAAATTATTATAAATCTATACTAAACTAACGTTACGAATTTCAAATCATATAATTGTTTCAATAATCGTATTAAAATGGATGGTTTGATTTGACCAACCGAAACCAATATTTGATAACAAATCTCTCGTAAATTGGAATGAGATTGAATTGAATTGGCCCCATTTCAATCAAATATATAATTTATATGAATAAAAAATATATATATTTGGCATTCTATTATTTTTTTTAACAATTTTAAAGTTCTACACAGAAATTTAAAACTTTAACAAAAAAGAAAAGGTAAAACTTGTCTACCATTTATACGGTCATCATAGTCTAACCTAACATTTCTAAAGAAAGGAATATCAATATGTAATATTAATCAATAATTTATACAAAAAAAAAATATTAATCAATAATCATTACCAATATATTTAGTAAATACTACATATACCGTATAATATTAAAGCTTAAAATGTGTAGAATTGTTTTTACATTTTTATCACAAACGGTAACTTAAGTTAGTTATTTACATATAAATACATAAATTAGTATCTTACTTACTTTCTTCTGTGCTTATCGATGTAAATTATTAATATTTTCTAATAATGCTTACTACACTTTTTATATTATTTACACTAATAATGATGTGTATGATCTATCTATCACAATTTTTGGAGGTAATAGTGCATATAAATATGTATATTTATCATATGTATGAAGCATATATATATATATATATATATATATATATATATATATATGTCACCCATACATGTTCATGTATATAGTGAGGTATATTTTATATGAAATTTTCTATTAAATAGTAATATAAAATCTAAGCACATGGGGGAAAATTCTATGAAATTTTCTCATGTTCATGTATAAAGATGCACCTTAACCATTGGGACATAGTTCTCTTGATGGTGATTACAGCTAGTCCCGGGTCACCAATCACCATCCAGAAACAATTTTGGGTCTTTTGCACACAATTACAGACGACAGCTTTTTAATGGGAACACAGAAATTCCAAGAAAGAGTCAGAATAAGTACCTTCTCCTTCACAGCTTCTTCCCTTTCTGAAATTTGCAGCTGTTTCTGAGACACGCTCTTCAAACCTTCTCCAGATTTAAAGTGAAATTAGGGTTTAGAAATAGTTGTTTCAGTAATCGTCTCAAAATGGTTTGTTTGGACCAATCCGATTCCAAATATTGGAATGAGATGTCCCGAATCAATCAAGTACACAACTAAGATGAATAAAAAAAAATCTATATATTTGACATTCTATTTAATCTTATTTTATCAGTTCCAAAGTTCTATAAAAAGAATATTAGGTAAAATAGTTTTTTTGATAATTGAAGTAACAAAAGTAATAATGAGCTCGATAGTGGTTTGGGCGTATAATTTTTTTTCCATACTACAGCATTTCTTATTTTCAATTTATTTGTAGTGTTATAATGTTTTTAATTTTTCTGCTCATTCAATATCGATTCACACAATAAATTAAAATTACGATATACAAGATCTGGCACTCGTACTGCTACAATATATTTGCAGCTGTTTCGGGTAATTTCTGTAGCTAATTCAGAAGCCCAGTGGGCCGTAATATCTAAAACTATATACGGCTCCGACCGTGGTTATCATTATACACCAAATCAATATAAACCAGCTCAAGCCTAGTATCAGCCGTTGCCTTGCCCCTCCCCTCTCCCTCGAAATCCCTAAAGCAAAATAAACGCACTCCAACATACCAGAGAGCCAGATTCTAGGGTTAAATTTCGAGCCCTGTTTTGGCTGTTTAATCTGTTGTGTATGATCTGATTGACCAGGGAGCGTTGTTTTGCGTCGGAAGATTCCTGGTCTTTCTGTTATGTATAACACATAATACTACATTAGTTTGCATTAATTGTGTCAAACAATACACTATAGGGAAAAAAGTTGTTCAAAAAGTACCTGAATAAGAAGCGATGTAGAAAACCATCGTGGTATTACTCGACTTTGCTGTCGAGTCTTTAAAATGCATCTCAACATCATTGAGATGCTATTAGTGGTGGGACAGTGGCCTGTAAATTAAACCGAACTAGTTCCAAACAGGAACTAAAATCATTCTACAAGACCGCACACCATGAAAACAAACATTTCAATCAAATGTTAACTTTTATAGAACTTCAATGCATTTCAATTTCCATTGCAATATCACAGATCAACACTTGTGCTTCTCAAATATTTTTACTTAAGACTAGATCATACAAGTCTAACCTATCACAACCT